AAAAACAAAAACCGATGTGCACAACTTCAATGCTTCTTCTTTTCAATTTCAAAGGGTTTTGTGCTCCAATTATTACAGTTTCAGAGCCTTTGTCTGGAAACCAGAGGCATAAAAATTTCAATCAAATGGGAATAACTCGTGAACAGAAGGTAATTTCCGAATTGTATTACAATATTCTGAGAGTGTTTAGTAAAGTCTAAAAGCTCTGAAAATTTGAACAAAATCCGTTCAGAAATGAGGAAGATATGAAGCTTCAAAGTTGGCGTCTAGGAAAAAAAAAGAATAATAAGAATAATCTTAACCATCAGAATCAGTAGAAGGTCTTCCGTTGGAAACGGAAGACCTTAATGACAACAATGCTACTCTACGAAATGATATAGGGTACCAACATGGGTTGGAGATAAAATATATACATCATGTGGTCAACATCTATAGTGATGTGAAAAAGTACAACATTGGTTTTTGCAAAAAAAAAATGTAATCAACATCCCTGGTGATGTGAAAAAGTACAACTTTGGTTGTTGCCAAAAATGTAATCAACATCTATGGTGATGTGAAAAAGTACAACATTGGTTGTTGTGAAAATGGTAATCAACATCTATGGTGATGTGAAAAAGTACAACATTGGTTGTTGTGAAAATGGTAATCAACATCTATGGTGATGTGACAAAGTACAACATTGGTTGTTGCAAAAAAATGCAGCGGCCCCGGGCGTTGTTTTACCCTTCGGATTCATCCACCAATTGTGACCGTGTAGATTTGGACGGTACTTAGGAATTCGTCTAGAACAGCATCCGTTGTTTGCAGAACAAACGGGGTGAGGGAACGTTGGCGTAGGGGGGTACGAGGTATAGGTAGAGGCGCTGTGTGGCCATGAGGTAAAAACAAAGTATAGGTGTGCCGTATTCCCGAAGGTCCACCAATATGCAATTCCAGAGATAAAACAAATGATGAAGGATTCCGTATTTATTAGAGGAGTCTCAACGATGGCAACAGTTTACATGAATCAACAAACAGACATATTATAAATGATCGAGTCGGATCTGGCCGAAGTGGCCCCGGACTCAGAGTCCTCACGAGTCGGACGTGGCCGAGACTGGCCTTCGTATATTCCAGACTAAAGATTGAAATTATACATGACTATTTATAAGAATGTACATAATGAGTAAATAAATGACAGGTGTTGACATTTAGTAAAATGAGTGAAAGATTCACAGGTATGGATTAATTAAATAAACTCAATGACGCTTTGATGTTTGGACATTAAAAAAAACAGATAATTACACAGTGTTGTTTTTAGAGATTAACAGTTCTTGAGACATAGCACTCTGTCTCTTTGTAACAACAGATCAAGAGTCCGAAAAGTGTCACTGGTCAATTAAACAATTAGATTCGCGAAACATATCGTGAGAAATAAAATATGACACAACTTAAAAATTGAAAAGTAATGTCCAAAATAAAGTTCTTTCTTGAACAGTGAATTTTTCACTGTGATAATTCAGTGAATTTTTCACTGTGATAATTCAGTGAATTTTTCACTGTGATACTGTCCTCAAGCACCTGTGTTCGACCCCATTCGATTTATTTTCTTGTTGACACATTTTTTCCCTAATCATGTTTTCTTGTAAATTTTGTATTGTAAACGTTGTAAAAATGTTAATTGTCATCGGTAATGAAACCTTTTCGTCCCTATGAGCTACCTAATTGTAAATATCTCACTCTAATAAGCCTAAGAGACAAAAAGGTTGCAGGTGTCATAACAGTATTTCACTTGAGGTTCACATCAAATCATGGCTGACGCAAAATAATTCCTGAATCTCCCTTCCGATTCGGGCATTTTAACACGAGCTAGACTGGAGCTGAATTTTTTTATGAGATGAAAAACAATATGTAAACTTCCTATATTGACAAGATTCATTAAAATTTAGGGCGTGCTGAATTTTCTATTTACTGTATTTGAGTCGGGAGTGATTAGGTCCTGGACTTGATTTTCAAGCACCTGCTCGACTTCGAGCGAGACAAACTTGCGTGCCTTGCTGGATGGCTATGTATTTTTTGGTACTAAAATCTTTATAAAGAATTGTTTTACAAGATCTGAAAAGGAAACTTCTCAAAAGTTTGTTTTCAATTAATACCACCTACTCAAAGTTGCGCATTTTTGGTAAGAATATATAGCAAAATTTAATACTGTTGTGCAACCTGCAGTAACGATAGCATGCAATGTATATAATTAGTAAACATGAACTTCTGTTTGATGGTCATGTGACTTTCTAGTTACAGTAGTTTCTGTACTGAATGGATTTAAATGACACGTTAACATGAATCCTCGGTAGTATAGTGGTAAGTATCCCCGCCTGTCACGCGGGAGACCGGGGTTCGATTCCCCGCCGGGGAGGATACGTTTTTTTCACCATTTTTGAATAATAATATTTAATATCTTCTTTTTTTTCATAACACTTTTTTCTTATGTTTTTCTTTGTATGAAAACTATGGATGTACAATGTAAATGATTTAATATGAAAGTAATTGTTACTGATTTGCTATATAAATAAGTTTTTTTTTACTTTCACCCTTTTCGTAAAAAAAAAGTACTACAGAAAAAAAATTAGTAAATAAATCAATATCCTAGGGTAATATTTATGATAAAACATACAATAAAAAATATGAATGTGTACTTATACATCTTTATTCTTTCGATAAAAACTGAATCATGGAATTAATTGAAATGTGAAAATAGAAATTAATTACATGTAATAAGTATTCCTAATACAGGAATTAAATAAAAGAGAAGTGTATACGTGGAGGCATTAATCCTTCCCTATATCTTTCTCCCGTAAGCAGTAACACAAAAAATATGATTATAAGTCGAAAAGCCTCTGGAAAGAGTTAGTCCCTTTCCCGGCCCAATTCTCTCTCGTCTTTTCCCACCTTTTCTCTTAGATGTATTGCACCTTTTCCTCGATCTTTTCCCCCTTCCAACCCCCTCAACCTACCTCCTTCTAATTCTGTTTCTTAATACAAGTTTGCAAAGTTTTTCAATAACGAAAGCCTTTTTTATTATAAAAAGACAACCTTGATTAACACGTATTTAAATAATACTTCAATTAAGTCAGTCAATGAAACAGTACCTCCTATCAAATGTATCTGACGCAAAAGTTTCTCTTTTGAAGTCATTCTTTCAAAATCACTTTGATCGTAATGCTTTTAAATTCCCTTAAAAAATGGTCTTCCTGTATGCTAAGTATTATTTTGCATGATTCTTTAAAAAAAAAAAAAGAGAGAAGAGCGGCATGTTTAAAAGTTTATTCAAACTCCACTAATGTTTCAAACAGCTCTGGATTTTTTAATCTTTAGACATTAAATGATAAAATAGTTATCAAAGTTCTATGACATGAATCCTTTTTATCATTAAATATTAAAACCAGTACTTTTTGTTATATCTCCTATAGATATAGAACTTGGTGATCGTGATAAATCTCGACCTTGAAATTCATGATTAAAAATCGTCAGGCAAAAAAACTCTTCTAGATATAAGGTACATTCTTGTATTCCAAAGAAATACAATGTTGCACATTATACGCACGTTGTGCGATACTTAATTACAGGCTTGGCACTTATTAAGTGAGGTAAAATAGATGTCAAATTATATACTATTAAATCTTAGCTCAAGAGATGCATGTTCCTGCAATGAAGATTATACTGGAATGCTCATTGAAACCCATTATTTTCCTGTATTTTGAACAATGTAGATTCAATTTTGGAATGCATCTAGCTAGTCTATCTATAAATGTAGCACTATAAATCTTTTTTATCAAATGCAAGATGTTTTTAGATCCTTAAAATGATTAAATTAAAATGAATTCTGATTTCGCCCCACGTTAAGGTAGCAACTTCAATGCCTACTTCTCAAGGTCTTGTCATCCGATACTATTTAATCTTCATCATCAAAGTTAAGTGATTAGACATTCAGAATGAGATTAATCTTTAAATAATGCAACCTCCCGCTGTTGAAAGGGAGTTGGGGTCATTTTTCATCTTTTTTGTAATCCTCTTAATTGATCCCTTTCTTTCTTTTTTTTTATTATGTAATCTTTTCGGATTCCAGAACCACCTTGGTCCCAGCTCTCCGCATGCTGTGACGTCACTATCCATTGATTTCGTGCCAAGTTGCTTCAAATAAAAGAATGTTCTCATTGTATTCTAAAAGAGTCTTTGCAGGTGAAAATGTCCTGCTTCCATTAACATCAGAACCCGGCTCATGTCGTGAGAATATTTCGACATATTACTTTCCATAGGAAAACTTAGTAATGAGTTTGGATTTCCATCCTTCCTTGCCGTTGTCTTTCTGATGATAACTTGAAGTATCAATCCATCAACTACTTTAAAAAATCAGGTTCAGGTGTCGCTCTGACCCAGTGGCGACAGACGATAAGTTTTACTTACATTGATAACGAAATCAATGGTAGTCTTTGTTCGTATGTTGAGATCATTTTTATTACACCTGCATAAATTTCATGACTCAGGAAGATATACCTGTGTGACTGAAATTAAATGCAAGGTTCCTATACTCCTAACCAAGAGAGACGGTTCTCTGTATATCAAATACATTTATGGCCGAAATATGATTCATTGTTTGTTTTCCTTTAAGTTCATTATGTAATAAAAGACAGATAGGGACGTGTTTCTGCGAAGAGGCTTTTATTACGTCTTTTCCCACGACCTAATCATTACCATATATACAACACAATATGTTTTTATCCGGTTTAAAGTGTATGCAGGATTTATATATTAACATTTTGAATCTCTAAAGAAACAAAATGCTTCATATACGTGCATTCGTTTGCGCTACCTCGTCTGCTATTACGAATGTTTCTTTAAGTATTAGAATTTGATAATTAAGTATTGTATGCCGTACACTTCAAATAACATTGCTTTAACATCATTCTTTTCTCAATATTGTACTTTATCTTTGCACTATATATTATGAAAAGAGGAAAGTGTACATTTGCAACAAACTTCATTATTCATTTTATTTAATACACATATTCGTAATTGATTATATTGAATTTATGTTTTATCGATTACATCTGGGGTTGAAGCTTTTGAATTTTGCAAAAATTTCTTTGACTGCTTCCACAGTCTTATATTTTTCATAAGAATCCCATGATACTTTGCATCATCAAGTTCGTCTTCCTCCAACAAAGAACCCATCAATGGTATAGCACTTCCTCTTCCACTGAAGGATGAAGATAGCGGAAATGCGGGGGTTGATTCAGCATTTAAATCTTCCATGGAGTCGACAGAACTATTGTTGTCTATTTCGTCATCGACAACCAGAGGCTCACTTCCATACCTAACCAATGGGTTCCTGAGATTACACATTACGTCATCATGAGCTCTTTTCTTCAGATATTTGAGAGTTGGGCGTTTCTTTCCTGAACAACTAAACGTAGCACTCCTTGCAATAGGATTTCTCGTTCTTGGATTTGTGATAGATGTTATGACACTATTAATGGCCAAAAGTTGTTTCATAAGTTTTACATCTTGATTCCGTATATCCTCCTAAGATATAAGGAAAAAATTATACAATAGACATGTCATATTAAATTTCTTGTATTTATCTGAAATGAGAATGTCCTATATTTTGTTCACAGAAATATAACGATGAAATCACACGTAGGGTAAAACCGAAAGTAAGAGAATAACTTACCAGGTCCGATTTTAGCCGTGATAAAGCTTGTGTTATTCTATCCACGGCAGAGTCTTTCTCCATTTCCTTGTGTAAAACCAAGTGGAACTCCACTATCTGTTTGTTATGAATTTCGAACTCTGATCAGAAAAAGTTTCTTAGGCGACACCAGAGATGGGATGTATTTATTTAAACAAGACAGATCACAAGCATTTACCGGTATTCGTAACATCCATTTAATCACACATTTTATGTGGTTTATATGCCTTCTCTTCGATCAGTAAAATTTTTACCTTTACTGTATTTTATTAGAGGTTTCCACACGGCTGAGTAAACATACATCACAGTTGAACTTTTTATCAATTTATTATGCAGGCTTTCAAAAATGTTTAATGACAAATGAATTATTTGTGATGAAGATTTATCATGCATTCGCAAATCATATCGTAAGCTGAGTAGGCTTGACCAAACAAACGCACAATAATTTATCTCAAGTGCCAAAAACTTTCCTTTTTAATCGAAGAAAAGTAGGCAGAATTCTTCTCCTATCGAATATTTATATTTAAAAGTAGGGGTAAGCCTGATGCTTTTAAGATCAAATACAACTTCATTCGGGTAGATGGATTTGGAGATAGAGGGAAATCTTGTGAGCTTTTAAGATTAAATTTCTACAAAAATACAAAGCTCTTCTTTGTCTGTCTATTAGTGCAGTTATTTTTATGATCATAATTACAAATAAACCTATTCAACATTTTAAAAAAATCTAGAATAGAGTGCAAAGTGCTTCTGGTCAGAGTGTACATCTTTAGAAAAATAATTAACAAGTTGACAAATCAAATCCAATACAAAGTGCATTCCATCCAAATTTGGCAATATACAACTGAAGAGGCATTCAATAGTTCATCTAATCAGTGGATTTGAACTGCAAAGCACCGAACTCAAACGACTTCAACAAAATATTTAAAGTGCTTATAAATTACTTACAAACATATTACAGTTCACAGTCTCTCCCTTAATTGCGTGTATTATTGATGTCTGAGTTGTGGAACACCTTTCCCCCTGTGTACACAATTTTTTATCAATTGATAGGATCTAAATTTGTCAATTCCTAATGAAACTTATGCCTGGGGTTATTAACTGATAAAATTTGCATTTTCCTAATTTCTTTCTATTTGTATACTATACGAATGTTTAAACATGGACATCCATTTCAGTAAAATGCTCCTTTGCTGAATTAACTGTATTAAATGTGATCTCAGTGTCGTTTTGTTCTATCTTCTGATTTTTCTTTCAGCCTCTTTTTCTACCAATTTTAAGTCCTGTTAAAAACCCTGTTCTTTACCGTAAATGCTGTTTCAGATAACTTTTTATTGATCCAAGAAATTGAAAATTTTGTTCCGATTTTCCATCAATTTACCTTGCGACAAAAAGGATAACTAAAAAGTGACAATGATTCTCATATTTCCTTTTTTTATTATTGTTGTTGTAATTTTTGGAAAAGAAAATCAAACAGATGCAAACACTCTGGCAAATAATGAAAAGGTATGAAGGCTTGCTTACTTTTTATCTTTTTTTCAAATCTTGCACCATAATCTAAGTTACAACAAATAAAATATTAATCATTCCCTTGGATGAATTCAGGTAGAAATTCAAAATAATCCTTCCATTCTCCAGAAACTGATGTATGTCAAGATTCATCGTCAGTGGCAGTGAAATAAATTAAAAATTCAAAAAAGAATTAGTCATAAGAGATGTAATCTTCTATCAAAACTTGTTAAATGCAACTTTTTCCCTTTGATATCGTGAAATGACACAGGTCACTCAAACTATTGGATTTGCATGATGCTATTACTGAATTCCGAATTAGGTCAACTTTGTTGATCAAATTACTTTAATATGAACTTTATCACCGAGATGAACTGTTAACAGGGAAGTATGAAAATAAAATCTACCTGCATGTCAATAAGGACTTTATCTTTTCGTCTCTTTTATACGCACTTGTTTGAAAAATAGGGAAATGTTAACTTTATTGAAAAATCAACTGTATAGGCGAGTTTACTTATAAACCATTAATTTTTTTCAACTCGAGAATTATAATTTTAAGTTTCTTGTTATACATATATTGATTCTCTGTATTATGAAGTCAAGCAGACTGAACTTCGAACCACTTAAGCTTTCCTGGTAAATAATGAGAGTGTTTAAGTAAAAAGAAAGAATTATGATTGAGATTAGTTACTTCCAAATATATGGTGAATTGTATATCTAGGTACTTTAAACTAATAATTGTTAAGTGTATTTTAGAAAAAAAAATGTTTTTAATTATATTGCCACTCCTTGTGTACTTACACAGAAATGATATTTGTTCTTTGTTCTAAGGTCACTCGACGTACATGGAAGTCCGTAATTCACATAAGCTAATTGTCTCGTGCACTTTATGACTACCTATTTAATTTTTTGGTTGTTAAGTTTGACAACAAACAAAGTGGGCTGGATGAATCACGTGATGTCAGGTAAAGATCTGGAGAGACCCGTCAATCAATTTTAAAAACGAGACAGGTCCCAGCTATAAAATCTCTTGACACCTTTGAAATAAGGTTAAAACTCTTTAAACTGTATTCGTGCATGTACGTTCTTAATCAAACAGTGAAACATGGAGAAGGAATCATCTTTAGATAGAATTACCTTAGCGCTGTCAAAATTAAAAACAGAGTTGGTGAGTAATAGAATTATTAAGAAGAAATTAAAAATAAGCTCAATTAAACATGATTTTTTTTTCAGTCAAAAAATAAGAAAATTATCAAATAACATTACTTACTTACTCTATTGCTTAGATGGAAATGAGAAGTCAGGATGTGAAGCTGATGAAACAATTAATTACAATCAACACGACCATTGGATCCATGGCAAACGCCAGACACAGAAACCCTGTTCTTAGAAGTGCCAGCTTTGGTTCCCTGAAGCGTAGGAGTATGGAGAGAATCACCAACAAGAATAGACCTGGAGAGGTAATGTGCAGCCTAAGAAACCCCCTTGTCCGACATAGAAGTGCCCCAATCATGGTTGAAGACAGAAAGGATGAACAGAATTCAGGTTTGTGTTATTTTTTAAATCCATAATTGCAGTCATTTATATCTATAGCATTTTATAATGTTTTGAAATAATTTTAATGGATTGCATATTTTACCAAACAATGTCAGTTAAAATGATTATATTTTTCTTCAACAGATATGGGGAGTTTAGAAGATGTTGGAGCTAGTAGATCGTCTGATTCTGAGAATGATCTTGCATCTCTGTGTAGTTCCGCATCATCACTCGTGTCATCCAATCAGCCATCACCCCCACCGTATCTGCGACCACTTCCTGAAGAGGAGGACACGGACGAGAAAATGTATTACGGAATCTTAATGAAAAACATTAAACTCTGGAAATACTCACAGGAGTCTATTAATAGCTCTGAAAGTGACAGCTCCTTTGACAGCTAGAAGATGTTTGACTTCATTAGCAATTTTAATTAATGTGGTTTTGTGTGGCGGAAGTGATTCATGTGCAATATTGACAAGAGTAGACAATAACACAACACTTCATCTTACTTTCTCCAACGTCTATGATTAAAATAGGATTCGAACCATAGAACAACAGCTAAAATAAAGATATACAGATCCTAGTTCTTGGAAACATTAATCAGCAGGTATGCAATAAATAGAAGTATCTTTTCTTTAATATAGGATTGTGTAATTCAATACTGAGCAATATAATGTCGTTTAGAAAATAATGTGTCATTTTTTTAAATTTTGAGAATAGTTTGCAGAAATAATTTTTAAGATACGATTTAATCTTTTTCAGAATGGAATAAAGAAACATCATGAAGAAACATTAATGAAGAGGAGAATGCATGTGTTTAAAAAGAACACCAAACGTTTTCCTAATACTCTTCCTTCAAACTATGTGCAATACTGTGATGAAAAGCAGAATTTTTTTATGCCTATATATGTGTGTTAATTACGCAAATAAAATTATTGAACATATGTATCAATTTAATCATGTTTTAATAATGGAAATCTTTCATTGCTTTTAATCTATTCATGTACACAACGGGCACGAAGATATCAATTTAAGAATTATTCAAATGTTAAAGATTTAGTACTCCAGAAAAAAAAATTCAGTAGACAAAATAATAATGGAAATATGACAGATCTACATTATAGTTGATACATGTACGTCATGGTTGAAAATAAGTTTGATATGATAGTGTATGTGAAGATGATAGAACATATAATTTTAGAAAGAGACCGCTGTGTCAGACTCTGTGGTGATGTATTGAACATGAAAAAAATGCTTTAACAATTAACTTCAGAAGTCCAACATAAAATTTTAGTTTGAGAAATTTCATGTGTATATGATTTTTTCTGTAATTACATTACTCTTCAATTCCGAAAACTTGTATTACCTATCCGCAAAAAATGTACGCGATTAATTATTATTTTGTTAAGGTTTTTTGAATTTCCTTGTACTAATATTTGATATCGACTATCGTAAATGAATATAGAGACTGATTTCAAAATTTCACATTAAATCTTAAATTCAGAAGAGGAAAGCAAGCGCACTATGGTTATGAATCAAATCAATAAATTTGAAGCAGAGAGTGACCTATTGCTAGGGAAGTCAATTGGAAATTATTTTCATTCATATTTAACTCTTCAGTCATCAGTTGTAGTAGTCCCGATACGTACACACACACACAGATATATATATATATATCAGTCACCATATATATATATATATATATATATATATATATATATATATATACACATGTATATATATATATATATATATATATATATATATATATATATATATTTTTTTTTTTTTTTTTTTTTTTTAAGAAATAAGGTATCATTTTTAAACATCTATCGGGATATAAATACGGGTTGGTCACGAGATCAAATTCCATAAAGCCCGAAGGGCTTTATGGTAAATTTGATCTCGTACCAACCCGTATTTATATCCGATAGATGTTTAAAAATGATACATTATTACTTATATTTACATTTGTGACATATTCATATTTTATATTTTCCTGATTATAATCTTTAACGCGTGAAATGTTTTATTTTTCAAACTCAACGGCACGCATTTGATCCATTGTTTGCGCGTCGACCCTTTATGACGTCACTGAGAAATTACGTCGAACGTTTATGACGCGAGGAACCTGTGTTTATACGGATATAGATACGCGTTGCTTTCAATAGTGTTATATAAGGGAAAACATTTGCAAATGTAAATATATATATATATATATATATATATCAGTCACCAAACTATATATATATATATATATATATATATATATATATATATATATATATATATATATATATATATATATATATATATATATATATATGCCGTTCTGAATGGTTATGAAGATAAACATTTTTTAAATTTCTGTGATTGACAAGTAAAGATAACACGTTTTCTCTATATTCCTAACAGACCACTTTATGTAAATACATTACTCCTTTGTTTGGTGACTGAATGTGTTTTATACTAGAATAAAATACATGCAATTTCTATGTTATAAATAAGGGCATAATTTGCCTATAACTATATATGTTTGAAAACTAAAAGAATTTTTCATTTACAAAGATTTACATTTCTTAACAAATACATGAACCTGGTAAAAAAAAGAGTCAATAGAAGTTTTGGGCTGACGCAAATCTGTTATTGCCTTAAATTATAAGTTAAAAAAATTTCCGGTTTTATGCAATGTATTTTTTTTTGTGATTCTATCTTCAATTATATTGAAAGGCCGCCGCCCAGTCTGTTGAATCGTTTTGTAAATATTTGTAAACTGATACCTACAAATATTGACTTCTGCCTGGTACACATGGGAAAGGCAAATGTTCATTCAGTAAATCAGAAAAAAAAACGATTTGGATTTGAGCCAAGGTATTTTCTTTAACTGGTTTTTCTTCCTTATTTTGACTTAAGTGTGAAACAGGTAAAAGAATAGAAAGGATATTAGTATATCAAAATCTTATTTTATTCCCCCCCCCCCCTTTCCAAAAAAAGTTTTAAAGTAAAGATTCTAAAATTTCGAACCGAAACAAAACATGAGAGTATTAAACATACGATTGGAAAGTCCTAAAAATGATAAATATTTTCAAAAATTAAAAGCTTTTTGTGTAAGTAGAATGTATACAATGTATCACTGTCTCAGCTTAGGATATTCACGAGTAAATAGTGCTGAACTGGTAATATTTTCTACATCAAATTGTGATTCATTCAAATTGCTCAATTGTTATATTTCAGACGCGGTAAGCTGTGCCAGATCCTTACAAATAAAGATACATACGGATTCCAGTAAATCATCTAACAAGCCTCGTTCTATGCTTCTCACCAAAAATACTAACCGCAGTGAGGTAGAAACTAGAAGTACTGTACAACAAATATTTGAGAAAAGGTGTTAATCAGATGTGAATATTTAAAAAAGGAATTTTTAGAAAATTTGAAATCACAGAATTTACCAAAATCAGTAACATCAAAACGCACGACTTTCAATACTTTGTACAACCATTCCCCACGATAAATTAAATTCCGAGCTTTTGACATCATAGATTACTGCTTTTTCAATAAAAATGGAACTCATAAATTTACATACCTTGTCATTGGTCATCTGCAAAATAATTTTTTTGAAAAATATTCAAATTGTACTTACAACTACTCCGAAGTCGAATATAAAAAAGATACTTGAATTTCTAAGTATATACATATATCTATGTAGTTTCTGGAGATAATATCTGTTCGA